CGGCTCCACGAGGCTTCTTCAGCCTTGGCTGGCTCGCTGCTTTACTGCTGTGGTTCAACAGGCCAGACAAACAAGGCTAGCAATGAGCGTCTGATGGCAACAGGATGCTTCAGGTCTGATAAACCAACAGTCCAGCAAAGAAGCTTAAACAAGGCAGCAGTTAGAGAAAGCCGAGCACTTCCCTCAGGAGGTGGTGGAGCCCAAACCAGAGCTGAAAGGAGCTCAGATATCTGACTAGGATTCATCAGGAAGGGCTTTGAATGTCTGCGTAACATGACTGTTGTTTGCAAAGACTTCAGCTGACTAACAGCTCTGTGGGGTGATGACAGAGCTGTTCTAGCTGAAAACTTTGTCGCTATAGAAGTTTCTTTTCAGTCGATGTGGACAGTTGCTGATCATTTTTTAAAGGTCAACTTCTAATGCAGACCAGAAGAAAACAAATCAAGCTGCATAGATAACCGTTTTGTCCGTGTACCCGTACCGCTATGTGGGTTTTGCATGATTGTAAAATGCAAAACACAAAAACAAAATGACAAAAAAAGCAAATACACATAAAAGTAAATAAGGTTAAAGAGATGATCTCGCTTTAAATAAAGACAGTAAGTCAAACCCAGAGGTGAAGCGTCCTGTGCAGCCCAACGTCCGGTCACACGGTGAGCGTTGGTGTTTTCTGATGGTGAAGCTCATCTCCACCCATCAGGGAGGTCTGCAGGTGTGGACGAGGCTCAGGCTGCTCTCTGTGGACTAGCACACCTTAAAGGCAACGAAACATTCGTGGTTTGCGTCTGATGCATTTAACTATTGAATAACCTATCAGACGTGTCCTTGTTGCTATCGATGAAGCGTCTATCGCCTGTACACGTCGCTTTACTGCACAGGCCTTAGTGATCATGTGTCAGCGGAGTTCTTCTTCCCCCAAAGTGGCTTAAAAAAATCAATTGAATGAGCTTTAATAATGCGTCAAGTCCCCGGAGAGGCAACAGCTAAGACCCCGGCGATCTGTAAGAGCACAGGAAGCCTTGGCCTGACAAAGTGCTGCTGATTGACACGTGGAAAGCACAGCAGGGGAAGACGAGCATCTCCCTGATGTTGGCCATCGCCTTCAGCTCGCTACAAAGTGCTGTGGGATGTTTTGGTTGTAGGGGCCAAAGCTAAGTGCATCCCAGATAAAACAAAGCATCTGAACGTCAATCTGGGCTTATGAGGAGGGAATCTCATCGAATAAAACCTCTTATCAAATAAAACCTCAAAGTGCCATTAGCCAGAGACAAAAGATAGAACAAAATGGCAAGAGGATCGTTGCTAATTCAGCAAAAGTGAAATCAATGGCCCTCTTCCTGTGTTTTCCACTGCTGCCCAGCATCTGTCTGCCCCGGAAAGCTCCCCAACTCGCTGCCTGTCGATCTCAGACCGTGGTGGAGGTGAACGGGGGGAAGGCAACCGCCCGGAGCCGCCGACTCAGCCGACAAATCATCCCACATTTGGGTTCAACTCTAAAAATACTCGAGCTCGCCTTCACCTCACATCGCCTCGTCTCCGGTCTCAAGGAGCTATGCAAATACGAGCACCTCCATTTTTTATCCTCCTCCACTTTGTTTTGCGTTCACACTCCTCCCACAGCCCCCCTCTCCTCCCCGTCCTATTGTTCCCACCACCTCCTCTCCATCTCCTGTAGACTACATGACAGAGGCTTGCCTTCCCTCTTGTTGCTGCCTCTCTCTCCAGGGTCGGGGAGAAATGATAAAAGCTATTTACAAGTAACTGAAGGCAACAGTGGAAATCCAAGACTTGGAAAAATTCAAGCTTTTTTTCTTTTTTTTCCGTCTCTCCTCTGTTTTCTTTGATGGCGGAGTCATTTGTGATGCTGCGCGCTGAACTGCAGCAGTCCTGAGTGACAATTTAAGGGGGGACTGAAGCGCTTTTAGGGACTCTGACTACACCAGTTTCTGCAGATTGTGTTTGGCTTTTTTTGTTCTTGAAGCAGAAGCGAGACGGCCGTCCTGCTTGGCACGTGCTGAGGGCCAAAGACTCAACACCTGAGTACATCTCAAACACGCTGAAGCCATTTAGAAGGCGTCTGAAGCTCTGAACACACAAACGGAGAGGGCGGCATTAATCACCGGTCCGTCCGCCTGCGGTCCATTTCTGAGAGCTGTTGCAAGGCTTACAGAGATATGATTGTGATACACGTTGAGATTCACAAAGCCCAACAAAGACATTCGTGTCGGTGCCACTGGAAACACCGGCTTTCATGACAGCCGTAATGAATCTCCTGCTTCATCTCTCACTCTTTCTCTGCCTGCTCCCTTGTCGTATGCTGATCACCCCTTTTCTATTCAACAGACTCTAATTGCACACTCTTTTTCTCTCCGGACTCTACTTGCCATGCATTACCCAACCCCCTCCCCTCCCTCCACTGTTCAGACGAACAATCTCCAAGCCGGCCACCCCCATTTCCTCTTTCTCCCTTGATTGATTCTCACCTTTTCCATTCTTGCCGTTCACCTCATTAACAGAGCCCCCGTCTGCTCGTTTCCTATTTCGCTTCCCACTCTTTCCTACATCCGAGCCCCCCCCCCCCCCCACCTCCGCCCCGCCTCACTTCCTGTCCTGCCGTCTCTGAAGCGACGGCCGACTCGGATTCTGCCAAGGCCCCGCGACGTTCTGTAATTAGACGGCAGCATAATAGAGTAACGGAGAGGGTTCCTCATCAGCCGAGGTGGATGGGGAGGGCACCGCTGCCACCCATCCATCCAGCCATCCATCCATCCTTGAGTTTAATCAGTGGCACACAATAGGATGTCACCTGCTCCCAGATGCAGCCGCCGGAGAGAGGCAGTGGCGCTGTCACAACCCATTTGGGGTGAGGCGGCGTCCATCGTAGCGGCTCTTTAAGGCCTCCCTCTTTAAGGCCGCGGTTGTCTCTGTTAATTTGCTCTCTGTGGGAACGAGGGGACCCCGTGAAAAATGAAGCTCATTTAGTTGTGTTTTCTTATTTATTCACAGATGTTTATCCAGCGTGTTCTTCTTTATTGGTTTCCCGTCTAAAATCCCCGAGGAGTCGTGGATATCCGGGCGCATGAACATAGGTTTTCATTTGCGTGTCTGTACAGTCCCGAATGTCGCAGACAGGTTAATCCAGCCCTCGCTCGGTCCGACCCGGAGAGGGGAACGTCAGCAAGTCTGCACACTTAAACCCTGGACTTAGTCCACTTCTGAGGGACTTTACTTAAGAATTTCCAATTTATGTTGTTTTATACGGTTCAGATTTCAGACAACATACTTTTGCTCAATGTACACGCTAAATGTCCTCATTAAAGGATCACATGGACGGTGCTGCTGGTTCTGGCATCGGCTGTCATATGTAACCGTTTACTGTGAAGCTTATATTAACTTGGAATTTACTTTTGGCACTAAAGTGAACGTGTGGCGTCCCCTCAAAAACGGTCCAACGTGGCACCGAGCACGTACAGATAATCACACAAACAGTAAGGATTTCAGCCCCCGGGCTTCTGCAGTCTGAAGAAAACATACCAAGATTAAATCAGTAACAGCTCCGTAGTCCTGAGGCCTAAATGGACCCGTCTGAGCTCTGTGGATTAAAACCATCGTCCTAATCAGGCTTCCTGTGCCCATCATCACACCAGAGTGGAATCTGGAAACATCAAGCCACGTTCACGGCTTTTTTACATCCACCTTCTCAAAACTGTAAATAAAAAGTGAGCCACAGTCTTATAGCAGCGAGTCAGTGACGATGATGCTGATGAAGCTTCTGCAGCTCGGCCAAATCTCATGCAACTAAAATAAACAACAATGTTACATCCATTTGAGTCACATTAGTGATGGACAGCAGATAAACTTCAGTTATCTGGAGAGCTTTGAAGAGCCACGTAATAATAATATATGCAACCTGGTCATGCAAGCAGGGCTGCCAGAGGTAAGAGTTAATCATTTTAAAAGGCACATTATATTTATAAGGGAAGGAGACTTACTCTGTGATTTAGATGTTAAACATCATTATCATGTGATAATAATGTCATGCAGATGGAAATGTGGCACAAAAAGTGCTTCAAAAATCAAACCACACAGAATGCCTCCACATTCATTGTTATGCAAAAATGTAAATTAAGTTGTTGTCAGAGAAATAAAAGTTGCCGTTATTTACAGCCCAACCTCGACAGAAACACAACAATAGTGGCTGATTGTTTAAGGACCTGCTCATACATCCAACCACAGACAACATGGATGTGGAGGACTTCCTGTTGTACTGCTTTCTGGTCCAGTCTGACCACATACGTGTCCAGTACATCGACGTCTGCGCATTCAGGAACATGCATAGCGGGCGCCCTTGTAGTGCTGTCACAACAGATTGGAGGGAACACAGACAGAGTCTCATATACACCTGTTGATAACAACATTTATGTCATTCAGACCCATGCGTACCCCTCACGTACTTACAAAAAGTTTAACACGAGCCTAAAACTATTGGTTCACGAGGGTTTTTGATAGCTGTTAAGCTGCTGTCAGTCCTTTTCGACTGGACGGGGCTCTGGCTTTGGTAACCAGGAGCATGGAGGAGGAGCTTAATGCAGATATGAAAAGAGTCTATTTTAACCAAAAGCATTGTATGTCCCAAAACTGTAAGTTGGAGTTTCAATGCTCAAACCGAACCAAGTAGTTCAGATGTTTAAACCAAACCCCAGATCGACTGAAGCCTAAAATGGGAAGTAAAAACCAGCCACTGCCACAGCTGCTGCCTCCTCCTGAAGTGGGTTTTGTTGTTCTCCATACACTCATATGTCATTCTACAAATCACTTTCTCTGTTGTTTCGGTTCGTGGACATTGTGGTGTTTGTTTTATCAAGAATTATTGCTGCTGTTTTTATGTACACGAAGGCTCCTGACGTGTCTTTCACCTCCACTGCCACAAATCCATGTCTAATTAATCCCTCCTCATTAAGACACTGAAGCCTCGTCTGTGTGTCTGGTTGGTCTGGCAGGTCTGTGCACAGAGTGACCGGCTAACTGTGGAGTCATGGGCTGCGGGCTGCGCAAGATGAAACCGACGTCGGAGGATAACAGTCCGGGGAAGATTTACTCCACCCTGAAGAGACCACAGGTGGAGACCAAGGTGGGCGTGGCCTACACGTACCGCTACCTGGACTTCCTGATCGGCAAAGACGGTAAGGCAGACCTCGACCCACCTGCTGTGGTTGTCATTTGCAGGCAATGCAATTGATTTTCTCTTTGTTTTTGACCCGAGCCCTGATGCTGTAAGTCTTAGGAGCCAGTTGTTAGCTCCAATATTTAGCACAGAGATCCAGAAGTCTGTGCACAGAAATCACTCTATTGATCAGTAATCCCCACAGCGCCCTTTAGCAGATATGTTATGTTCACTTTGTGCTGCGGGGTCGTAAAAATCTAAATTACAGCCCCTTCCACATGCACAGCTGAAATGATATGAATAGCTCTCGGCTTGTGCTGCATCATATCGCTGCGTGATAAGGCGTCGGCGCGCCTCGCAAGTTTGGCGAGGGCTCATCTGCACCGCAATATACGGCTGTGTGCAGTGTGTAGGGTTTAACTGAATAATGCTACCTCCAGCGCCATTAATCTGTCTGCTCCCCTCCCAAAACGCCATCACACCAGCAGAAAAAACATTAAGGATTTAAATGCAAAAGAAATCTATCATTGGTGGTATAAGAGCACGCTGGCTGTAATTTTCATCAGGATTTTCTTGTAATGACTGAGTGTTAATTAGCGCTTGTTCTCTGTATGGCAGCATCCATTATAATTTCTTTTCTGACAATTAGTCAGTCATGCTTTGGCGTTGCACTAATGATATAGAACTTTCCAGACCAATCCGTGTCAAACATCCTGCTGGCGGTCATCAATTATGAGTGGTGGAGTCCAACCCGCTAGCAGGGGATGCAAACAAAGTAAAAGGTGACCCGCTTCGTTCAAGGTCGCAGGTTTGGTCCTCGCAAAACTATTTCAGTGAGTTTCAGCCGGCCTGAGTGGCTCTGCACAGCCGAGTGAGCCGGAAACAAACCGAGACGCTGACGATGAAAACGGTGTTGACGGTCAAACAGATTCTGAGGCTTTACAAAGACGGCATTCCTCCCACCGACACACACAGAGCGGCGGCCGGCAGAGTCCCCTCCTCGCCTTCCTCTCCTCATTGGGAGGTGTTTATGAGATGGGAGGTGGGTGTTGCTTCCTGAGGCGCACAGACTCAACTTCATGGCTTCTTTGTGTGTCTGGGGAGGAGCGCTCGTGTGTTTTTATGTCGCGTCTGAAGCTCTAAAGGACCAGATTTCTATCAGCGGTCTGCAAGTAAACCTCTGATCAGTGGAGGAGGGTAAACTTTAATCTGATTTATATCCTGAAATGAGCTAAAATGATCCCAATCACATAAATCATTTTTTTAAAAAAGAATAAAAGAGAGTCACTAACAGCTTCTTGTGCAAAGGACTGAGGATTTGTTTGGTTTTTTGCATTTCTTTAAACAAAACATAGAATACAGTGACTTGATTTTAAAGAAAAAAAGAATAAAACTTAATTTTCCAGACAGAACCTAAAGTCACAGATCCAACAACTCTTTCCATTTGCACAGCTTGTGGTTTTAAAAAAAACAGAAGTGTAATTTTGCAAATTTTTTGAAAAGCTTTCTAAACCTGGCAGCAGGTTTTTGGGACACGTAGGTTGAAAGGAGGTTGAAGTACGTCTCTGCAGAGCTGCTTTTTGGCCACAGCGGGCAGCTATTTTCAGTGATTAAGCTGTTTTTCTCAGGAGGTGGTGAAGTCAAAGAACAGGCCTGGAAGACAGTGAATGGAGGTGGCCGCTAACAAATAATTTCATAACTGCTGGAAGTGCAAATAACAGCAATTATTTCCTCGCAGGTTCTCCACAATGTTGCTCCGACAATCCTCAAGTGGCAAAAGCCTGTTATGTTGGGTTCAATAAATGTGGTTAAATGTAGGAAAAGGCAACTTTTGTCTTTATATGGCGACTCCCAGAGAACGTCTTTCACACACATCCTCCATGTTCTGACACGTTTACTGTCACACCAATAAGATGTTTGCTTTGAATCTCCAAACAAAGTGTGTAATACTCATGAAAACAACGTTCCTGATAGTTTAAAAGGTAATTAGTCATTTCACTAATGCCTCCCCCTAAAAAAGATCTTTCTTCTCTTTCTCCTTCTTCCACATCGCCGCTCATTTTTCAAACTGCTTTGCTTCCAGTTCACTCCCATGACATTTTGCTGTTTGCCCGCAGAATCAAAACAAGGAAAGAAACCTGACTGAAGCACACACACACACACACACACACACACACACACACACCTAGAGCCAACTCCAACAACTCCATTATGAGATTATTAGTCACAGCCTGGATGTTGTGTTAAAATTACAGGTGAAATATTAAAAGTTTGTCGGGCTCACACTCAGCACGTAGACAAACGGAGCTCTTTCTTTCTTCTGATTTACAAACTTATTAGCCGGTAAAAGGACAGATGTTGACACTAAGGGTGGAGGTTAATTCAAGATTAGGTGTAGAACTAGGATTAGGTTCAGATTAAATATATAACGGAGGTCATTAAGGTGAGCCAATAGGAGATGAATGTGCACCAGGACGACTCTGTGTGTGTGTGTGTGTGTGTGTGTGTGTGTGTGTGTGTGTGCGCGCGGTAAACCAGCTATATATAGCTATCACTCTGTTATTTCTGCTCATGACAGTTATAGCCCAGATGATGGTGGGCGGAGGGCTCGGTGGTGGCGGAGGAGGAGGGGACGGGACGGGAAGCAGGGAGATGTAGTGCGCGGCGTGTTCGCTCTGACAGTTGATTAGTCTCCATTAGTTTGTCAGGCGGACTGGACTGGATGGATGAAGGGGCCCGGGAACGTGGGCGTCCGGGGGGCCGGCCGGCTCCTCCACCGTACCGGACCCGACACGAGGGCGGGGCTGGGAGGGGTGATGGGAGGTGGACGGACGCCTCCCTCCGGCTGAACCGTTGGCTCGAGGCCACGCTATTATCTTGGAGCGTGCTCCGTAATGGCGGGGGTTGGTACTTACTGTAATCAGTTTCCTCTTGCCTCGTCTCTCCGTCACTGTCACTCCGCCTCCATCTGTGTTTTCTCTGTTGTTCATCTCTTAAATGGCGCGTTGGAGAAGCCGGCGTGTCCGCGTGGCGTCTGGATCATTTCATTGCATCAGCAGGTTTCCAGGTTGAGGGGCGAGCGTGTGACTCCTGGCTGTAATTACCTCGTACCACGTATGTAAGTGTAGGTAGTGATTCATGTGTCTGGCCTTTTTCTAGAGGAAACCTGTGAAATATTTAACACGGGGCCAAAGATTATGAATATGAAAATAGTCTGTGGTAGCGCTGTGGGGCACGGACATAAATACAGGTGCTTAGAATGTGAGCTCCAACAAGGATCAGGGGTACTTTCAGCTTTAGTTAAAATGAGTAAATGAATCGCTCCTAGAGTAGCCTGTGAGCTTTTCTTCTATGTGCTGTATAATTGGCACCTAACCTTCTGGATGCAGTTCCTCCCTTTAAAACATTTAAGTTGCCTTTTACATAAAAAATGAGGAATCTGCATTGTCTATATCGTTAGTAAGTGGACGTCACCCTCCAGACAAGTTCGACCTCGACAGACAAACAACATTCCTGGTCGAGTGTTTAAAACAGCTGATGTTCACATGCACAGCCTCCTGTGGATGAGTAAATAAATGCATGTGAAACAAACCTGTAAAATCAGAAACATTACTGATAAGCAGCATGGACTGGACCTGACCTGCCGACGTGGCTAACGCTAGCTGGATGTGACAGTCGGCTTGTTGACTTAATGGATCCTGTCTGCTTGTGGTATTGTTATGCGACGTTTGGCTCGGTGTCAGGATGACATCTACATAAATGCCAGGATCCCAGATTTCCCAGCAGATCGCATCATAACGAGACGATCAATGCTACTCACTTTGCCTGTCGGTGGTTTTAATGTTGTGGCTCGTCAGCGTGCACATGAAAACCACAGCAGACGTTTTATATTTGGTTGTGCAACAGGAACAAATAATACAGATAATGAGCTACCTCGTATTGTGCCACGACGATAAAGTGATCTTCATTTTGTCCTTCAGGCCAGAAACAGTGTCACATGCAAAACACTGTGAAAGTCAACTTCTAATTCTGGAGCCATTATCACTGTTTCTGCAACTAAACTTTGCATAATATAAAAAAAAACCTGTGGCAGAGGCAGCGGACGCAGCAGATTCATGTTCTGCATCAGCATACTGAGCAGGGGACAAATTACAGGCTGACTCTCTGTTTCCCCTTCACCTCCCTTTTCTACAGCATGCCCTCGTGATGCTCAGTTCACTCCTCTACGACTAGCGCGCTGTGAATAATGCTCGTAATAATTTCTTGCCACGGCGTTAGCTCATAGCTCTTTGCAACTGCCGCCACAATGGCCCCGCAGGCTACTAGCCCGCTACCAAACGCACAAAAATAACACCTTTCACTGCGGAAACACTGATGAAAGGGGGGGTAAATCGGTGGAAAGCCGTATGTAATAAACCTCCCCTGCACTAAATATCAACGGCAGCCCACCAACGAGTCGCTGCTGCTGCCTCTCTGCCATTCTGGAGCGTGCATTCAGCTTCATGGTCACTCGTTCACCTCTGAAAGAGCTGGGGGGGAAAAAACAAAACCAAACAGAGAGCGTGTTTGATATTGAGATCATGACCCCACGGGGAGCGCAGAAAACGGCCGGCCGTGTTAGATGGCGTGGAAAGAAGCCATTTCACTGTAAATAAAAGCACAACGGACTCAGGGATGTGTGGCACGGATCTTATTTCCCCCCGAAATGCAATTTTTGAAATGTTAAAAACGTCAGGAGGAATGAAAAATTGAAAACATGCTCAATATGTTGCGTCTTCTCGGCGTGTGAGGATGGGGATGGCGGTAAAAAATAAAGATGTCGCCCTTGACATCAAAGCCAACGAGCAGACGTGTGAGGCCTGCACGCGCACACACACACACACACACACACACACACACACACACACACACAGCGTTTGATATCATCTCGGGAACCAGACACATCATTTATATGCAAAAACCCCCTGAGCCCCGAGTCCCCTTGTTAATATGAGCTGTAGCGGTGGCGGCAGGTGAGTG